GCTTGCGGAAGAGGCGAAGCGTTGTTTGTGCGTGCCGTGGTAGCGTCACTGTCCATCATAGGAATCTCGTTCGCTGGACGCCCGTTCTTATAATGTCCCTAGCAGCGCGATGCTTTGCAGAGTTCCCGCGGCGCAATCGTAATGCCGTCGAGGAGGAGGACCTCAACCTTGCCCGCTATTGCGTAGCAGCAGCGGCATCGCGGCCGAATCATGAAATTCCAGAAGCAGCTCCAGTGGCAGCTGGTGCCGGAATGGCGGGATTCCTACTGCGATTACAAGGATCTCAAGAAGGAGCTCCGCAAGATCAAGCGCTCCGGTCCGGCACGGCGATCTTGGATGCCAGGTTACCTCCTTGGCAGGCGCCGCAGGAAGATCGAAGTAATCTTTCTTTCTTGGCGATCGATCGTGGTTGCGAATTATATTTTGGTGGGATGTTGTTCCAGATTGTTGTGCATTCGCGGGGCGGCCATGCGGCATTTGAGACGGAGCTGGATTCCGCCGCTAGCGAGAATGAGCGAGCATTTTTCCGGGCGCTCGATTTGCAGCTCGGCATTGTCAATGGTTTCTATATCGCCAGGGAAGGAGAACTCGAATCGAGAGCGCGTATGCTACTACTCCAGCTCGAGAATGATCACCACTCAGTTACTGGAGGTTTGTAGCATCTCTTTTGATAGTTTTGCTAATTTCCATTACTTACAGATGCGCGGAAGTCGAGCTCTCTTTGCAATGCGGTGGCCGATCTTTGCAGACAACTTTCTCTTCTACGTAACTACAGGTCCGGATTGATCAGGAATTCGCGAATGCTGATCTTTGGTGTGTTGGCTGCAGCACGCTAAATAGGATGGCATTCTGGAAAATCACGAAAAAATTCGACAAGGTACCGTGATCACGCTTTTCCGTTCCTGGGAAGCAATCTTACGGGGTCCTTTGCCGTGCGCTGCAGATCACAGGACAAAACGTGAGCTCTGCGTACATGAGAGCTGTGGAAACGTCGTACTTTCGGACCTCGCATAAGGCATGTCTTTTGCTGCTTGGAAAAATCTTGTGACTTGTTCGTGGAAGCAGTTGCTTGACACGATGGACCAAGTGAACAGCATTGTCAAGCACACTTTCATCAAGGGATGGTACTACACTTCGTCATCCTCGCGTACAAGTTTCTACTCTGGTACGTGACTTGCATACCGGCCATGTAATTCGCAAAGTGTGTTGCGGCCTTGCAGGGCTTGTGACGGGGAGCTGCCTGGGATTGCTTGCAGCCTTCGTGCTGCTACATATTCTTTCTCGTAGGAAGAGGGGAGCGGCCATGCTGACAACGTTTTCAATATTCGGGTATGATCAAAGTTCACGTTTGAAGGAGCTGCGTTTAAATCCTTTACAGCACTCTCGCGTTATTTGTGCTCCACTTGTGCATGTATGCCTGCAACGTCTACTTCTGGCAGCGGGCGCGGATTCACTATGCCTCCATGCTTGAGATGGCGCCGGGAGCGGATCTAAAACACCAAGACATTTTCCTCATAAGTCTTGCTCTTGCCGCGATTTTGCTACTCGGCATGGTTCTTTACCTTGGTGCTGATATTTTGGCCATTCAAGCTGTCACGACCAATGACATGCCGCTTCTTGTTATTGTGGTAAGTGAAGCAGTGATTCTAAGAAAGCAGTCATGCCACTTCTAACAAATCTGCTGAAGATGGATTCAGGTTGTGGTGGCTCTACTTGTTATTCCTTACAATTATTTCTACAAGCCTGCACGATATGGTCTTCTGCGGCTGATCGCCCGGACCATCTTTTCGCCTCTTTCTGAAGTTCGTCTCCATCCCAGCCTGAGGTAGCTTGCTGAACGTTTTTGATATCTTTTTGCAGGTCAGGTTTGCAGATTTTTTCTTTGCTGACCAGCTTACTAGCCAGGTATCAGTGTTCTTCCGCATTTTTTATTCCGCACTTTCGTTTTTCTAGCTAGATCCATTCCATCGCAGGCTTCAGCTCTCAAGGATCTTGGCTTTTCCGTGTGCTACCATGGAGGCCGTGTTCTGGCTGGCGACACTGCAGTCTGCTTCACTACTACATATCAGTGTGCCATGCTTTTGCTTCCGCAGTGGTGGAGAATTCTCCAGGTACGACTCTCTTCCAGAGCCTGGAGTGATCTTGCCTTTTCTAGTGCCTCAGGAAATGGCATGACGGAGATCAAGTACAGCTTGCCAACGCTGCCAAGTATTTGTGCGGAATGCTTTCGCTCATGGCCAAGTTTGCGTACGCAAGAACAGGCTCCACACTCTGGTTCGTATCATTCATAGTCATATCTTTGTGTACAACGATGTACCAGCTCTATTGGGATCTCGTCATGGACTGGGGGCTGCTCCAGCGACGGTCACGCAATCCTTGGCTCCGAGACGAGCTCATCCTCACGAAGAAAGCAATCTACATCGCGTCCATGGTGAGTACTCGTGGTAGTAATATCAACAACTCATGCCTGTTACGTGCACAGGTTGTCAACTCATTTCTTCGCTTTGCGTGGCTGCATTCTTTTTTATCTTTTCGTGCCGGCACGGATCAACAGGTGGTGCAGTTCATGTTTGCGTTCTTGGAAGTTCTCAGGAGAGGCCTCTGGAACTTTTTCAGGTAAAGAACCAATCCTCTACTCCGTTATATCGGAAGTAATGCTTCTCTCTCGCAGGCTGGAAAACGAGCACAGCAGAATGACCAAAACAATCCCACTCTGAAAGAAAGAAGAAAAAAAAAGAGAAATGCTTCACAAATCCATAAGGGATGCGCAGCCGCCAGAATCGCATATCACCACGCCTTGATCGCCACCAACATTCTTCGAGAGCTCTGGCTGTGCCTCCCGATACTTTCTCCTCACAAACCTCGCAGCCTCGTCCGCCATCTCCGCCTTCACCAGCGCAACGCAGAAGCCTCGAAACCCCGCGCCGCTAAACCGCGCTCCATACACACCCGGCGCCTCCGCCAGTATCCCCCACAGATCAATCAGCGCCTCGCAGCCACACTCGTAGTTCTCGATGGAGCTCCGCCCGGACTCGGTCATGAGCCGCCCAAACTCCGCCAGGTCCCCCGCCACCCAAGCCTTGACGCTGGCCTCCACCCGAGCTCTCTCCGAGAAGAAATGCTCCGCCCGCCTCGCGAGATGGCCGCCCTCCACCGCCGCTAGCTTCGCTTTGAGCCGAGTATACTCCTCCGGAGCTACGTCGCCAAGCACCGCCACCTTTCTCTTCTTGTCCCTCCCGGCGGCCTCGAGAAGGAACTTGGCGGCCTTGTTACACTCGGACACCCGGAGATTAAACCCGGGCTTGGATGCCAGCGCGTGGCGGAGGCCCGAGAAGGCGAGCAAGATCTTGTAGCTCGATCCTCCTCCTCCTCCTCCAAACTGGAGAGATTGATGCGTTCGATCGAGCTCGTGGCACCGGATGAGCGTGAGGCAGCCCGGTCTCGCGAAGAGAATGGCCGATTGGTCCATGACACCGTTCTTGACGCCCAGGAACTCGTTCTCGAGGATCCGGTCGAGCTCTACGTTGGCCTCGGGCGAGACGAGGAGATCGTTGGCGCGCTCCATCGCGAGGAGGAAGGCGATCCCCACCGCCGCGGAGGAGCTCACGCCACAGCCATGGAATCCCTCGCCGCCGTCGAGGAAGGCGACGATCCCCCTGGAGATGGCGTGCCCCGCGCGGAGGAGCGCGTAGCAAGCGCCGCGGGCGAGATCACCCCACTGGGACTCCGCGTCGCAATGCTCGATGTTGGTGGATTCTTGCGGGATCCGGAAGCTCACCTCGCCAGGGAATTGGGCCGACCTCACGCGGATCTCCGGCCCCGCGGCCGCCGCGAATCCCAGGAGCACGCCACGATCCAGCGCCATGGTCGTGACGGCGCCGCCCTGGTGATCGACGTGGGCGCCCAGTGGGCAGATCCGGTATGGCGACGCCACGATCTGGAAGCCTCCTGATTGAGCGCCCATCGCTTCCACATTCTTGCGGATTTCATCGACGTGATCCTGCGTCGGCCAGTGGCGCTCGTCCATGGAAATGCCAAGAACCCTACCTGGTTCCCTGGCATGAATCTCGCCATCGCTGGGGATACGAGAAAAGAGATCCTTCACGCGATCGAGGCCTGTCAGGATTTGCCCCAGGCTCGAGAGCTCCACGCTTGCTTGGCCAGCTCCGTGGATCTTAGGGCCGCCGATGGCGATCCTTTCCTGTCCAACAAGCTCATCCAGATGTACGCGCGCTGCGATGGCGCCGCTCTCGCGCGCGAGGTCTTCGATTCCACCCGGCACAAAGATTTCTACACCTGGGACTCGATGCTCTCGTGCTACACCCGGAATGGGGATTTCCAGCAAGCGCGATTGTTCTTCGCCGCCATGCCGGAGGCGAGCATTGTCTCTTGCAACACGATGCTCGCGGCATTTGCCAAGGCTGGGGAATTGGATCTCGCGAGAGATCTGTTTGATCGGATGCCCGAGAAGGATATCATCTCCTGGACAACAATTCTAGCAGCAAATGCGCGAGCAGGGTTTCTTGATCGATCTTGCGAAGTATTTGCGCAAATGCCCCTTGTCAATCTTGTGTCGTGGAATTCTATCCTTACGGCAAATGCCCAGCTCGGGGATTTAGTCTCAGCCATAGAAATCTTTCACGAGCTAATTCCGGAAAGGAATCTGGTGTCATCTACGGCCATGATCGCCGCCCTCGGGCAGGCTGGACGGCTGGATGCCGCCAAGAAACTATTTGATGAGATGCCATTCCGGGATCTCGTGTCGTGGACTGTGATCCTGGCCGCTTATTGCCAGTCCCGGAATCTGTCGGGTGCCACGTGGCTGTTGGATAGAATGCCCGAGAGGAATGTCGTGGCGTGGACGACCGTGATAAACGCTTTCGCGCAGGAGGGGAATCTGGAAGAGGCTGAGCGAATATTTCGTGAGATACCGGTCCAGACGCCGGTATCTTTGACCGTGATGCTCACCGCATATGCCGTGAACGGGCATCTGGATCTGGCAAAGGATCTCTTTGATGGGATGAAAGAGCGCGATCTTGTTGCTTGGAACGCAATGCTCACAGCGTTTGTGGAAAGCAATAGTTTTGAGGACGCGAGAAGAACTTTTGGCAGTGTTCCCGAACGAAGCATCGAATCGTGGAATCTACTGCTCGAAGCATTTGCCACGACAGGGCATTTGGAAATGGCAAGGCGGCATTTCTCACAGATGCCGCATGGAAATCAAACCTCCTGGAACACAATGCTGCTCGCTTCGGTGAGGGCCGGAGATTTGGAGCAGTCGCAATGCCTGTTCGAGCAGATGCCTCATCGCGACACCACTTCCTGGAACACAATCCTGGCGGCGCACGCTACCAGCAGCGATGTCAATCGAGCCCTCGCGCTATTTCACTCGATGCCGCAGCGAAACCCACAGTCGTGGAACGCGATCCTGGCAATGCACTGCTCCAATCGAGATATCGACGCTGCCAGGAGCCTGTTCGCGGCAATGCCGTGCCGCGACGCCATCGCCTGGAACACGATGCTCGCCGCCCACGCCCAGATGGGCGGCCCTAATCGAGCCAAGAAATTCTTTGACGCAATGCCGGATCAAACCCTCGCTTCCTGGGCCACACTGCTGTGCGCGTACGGCCACACCGACGGGGCGGTGGCCCTATTCGACCTGGCCAAATGTACGGTCTCACCGGACGCCGTGTGCTGGGTGCTCGTCCTAAACGCGTGCAGCCACTCGGGGCGGTGCTTTCTCGCCGGGTCCTACCTCCGGTCCATGGCGTACGACTTTGCCGTACGGCCGACGAAGCAGCACTACAATTGTATCGTGGACGCGCTCGCAAGGGGCGGCTACGTGGCGGAAGCCCACGAGCTTGTGGCGGAGATGCCCTTTGTCCCAGATTCTTTGGAGTGGACTTGTTTGCGCGGCGATTAGGGCTCTTGGTAGATATTTGTCCCTCACGGGCGACGTGCCTGGTTTTGATGCTCACACAGGCACACCAGCAACGTATCAGATGATCCAAAGTTGTGGCGAAGCATGGAGCCAGCGACACATGGTAGTTGTCAATGCCAGGAATTTGTGGGTTGCCACACAAAAGAAAAGATGCTATCATATTCGCCCATAGTTCTCCAAATCTTATTTCATCACAACATTGACACGGTATTGACAAATGCATCCCTCCCACCGAAAGAGTTAGTGGGCCGCATTAGGCTATACCTGTCAAAAGATCGTCGTACTTTTTATTGCGGCCGTCAGATGTGCCAGGAACGGACGGTGGATCTTATCGACTATGGCCCGCCTCCAGCTTGGAAGCTCCTTTCAAAATTCCCTCCATATCCATTTAGCCACACGTATAGAAAATTCTGGCCACTCGTTACTGGATGAGGACACACGGATGGCGTGGATCGCGGGTGCTATTCCGGAATCTACCAGGCACGCGGACGGCGGCGATGCGTTTGACGGGCGGAATCGTGTGGACGCTTTAAAGGGGGAAACTGGCCACGACTCATCCACAATCGAAGAACACTCCCTTTCGTCCACGCGAAGGGAAGCGTCTAGACTATTAGGTCAGCTAGCCGCCAAGGAATCGAGCGAGCGAGCGTGCGATTCTCTGTCCAGGTGCACTCTTCTCTTCCCGGCGGTGTGTAGTTTTCCGAAATTGGTAGCGCATTCATCCATTTCTTGTCGATCGCGGCCCCAGAGGTTTTCCATTTCATCCTAGATAGGCTTGAATCAGAGGAAATTTCAGCGCGCGGTCTCTCAAATCCTCGGGAAATGGCGCAGGTCTTGCATCCCACTGCGAGAATCTTGTCGAGTGAGAACGCGCGGCTTGTGGTAGGGGAATCGTCGGTAGCATCGTCGTCGTCGCATTCGTGCGTGAGATTGGGCGCTGCTCCATGGAGTTCGCAGTTTTGGGGGATTTCTCGGCAGCTGGCTGTCAGAAATCGGCAGCAGCAGCGGCAACATTGCTCGAGATTGAGAGCGGGCTCTTCGGGGATGTCCAAGGTGAGATTTTTTATCCTCTTTGCGAGGGAATTTTCTAGTTCCTCAAGTATGCGGGTGATTTGTTTGACTTAGAAGTGAAATTTTTTTCTTCTTTCTCTAACGGTATGTGTGACGCGGTGATAGGTGTTGAACACGGCACCGTGGTTGAAATGGTGGGATAAGGATGGGGCGCCCAACATGGTGGAAATCCACTCCATGCAAGAATTCATTGACGCACTCTCCAATGCCGGGGATAGACTCGTCATTGTGGATTTCTACGCAAGACATTGCAACGGCTGTAGAACGCTCTATCCAAAGGTGATTGAATGCTTCTTTTACTTTCCTCTCCAAAAAAAAAGCGTTTTTTTTCTTTCTTGGGACTGATTTTGGGTGAATACGCGCAGCTGTGTAAGATCGCAAAGGAGCATCCGGAGGTTCTCTTCCTCAAGATTAACTACGATGACAACACGGAGATCTGCAAGGCCTTGAATGTCAAGGTGCTGCCGCTCTTCTTTGTGTACCGCGCTCAGGGCCACCTCGAGTCATTCTCTTGCACCATCTCAAAGGTGAGAGCTGGATTGAAAATTTCTCTCTAGAGATTTTTGCCGGACTGACCTGACTGTGACTGTGATTACCTCCGATGCAGATCCAAAGATTGAGAGATGCGATTGCCAAATACACCAACGTGACGCCAGTTGCCAGTGGGGTGGGAAATCTTCAGCTCGCTGGATCCAAGCAACCAGCTGGAGCTGGAGCGTCACTCGCGCTCTAGACTTCTAAATCTCTCTTTTTTCCTCCTCTTTAGAGTCGAGCCACTTGTACAGAAGAATCAAGTAATTAATTAAATTTGACGTAGTTTGATGTGATCTTATGCACTTCCAAGGTTTCACGCAGCGTACATGTTAGAAAGCAGTGCGTAAGGGCCAGAGTTTGATGGCACAAATCCTTTCTCCAAGACCACCTCTCCTGCCTTGCCAAACTCTCCGTGCGTCTTACACGCATCCACGAAAGCCGTCCAGGCAATAACGTCGGCCTTGCATGGCATGCTCTTGATCAGCTCCGCCACCTCCGCCAGCCTCCCGGCTCGTCCCAGCACGTCGATCATGCAGTGGAAGTGCTCCGTCACGGGGGCGATGCCAAAGTCCGCTACCATCATCGCGAAGTAGTCGCAAGCGTCGCCCAAGAGTCCGGCGTGGTTGCAGCTCGAGAGAACGCTGGTGAAGCAGCCTTCGTTGGGCGGTACTGCCCCGTCCACCGCCATAGCCCGGAAGAGCTCGATCGCTCCCTGGGTATTCCCCGAGTGGGCATACGCGCCGATGATCGTGTTCCAGGAGATGACGTTCCTTCTGGAGCCGAGCTTGGCGAACGCGGCCATGGCGGCGGCGAGGTTGCCACACTTCCCGTGCATGTTGATGATCGCGTTTCCGATCACCGGGTTTGTGGCGAGTTCGACGTTGATCAAGCTGGAGTAGTCCCTGACGTTGGTGTGAATTGCCTCGGCGTCCGCTGCTACGGCAGATCCCGCGCAGGCGTCGATCGCTCCCAGGAGTGTCACCTCGTTTGGTTTCACTCCTTCGTGGATCATCTGGCGGTACGAAGCGAGAGCTTCCTTGCAGCGGTGGTTTTGGCTGTAGGCCGAGATGAGCGCGCTCCAAGAGACAACGTTTTTCTCTGGCATATTGCGAAAGACCTCTCTAGCGACCTCCACGCACCCGCATTTGCCATACATGTTGAGAAGAGCGTTTCCGATTCTTACGTCAGATTGGAAGCCGCAGAAGCGGACGCTCGAGTGGACGAGCTCGGCGATAGCGAGGCTGCCGAGCTTGGAGCATGCGTCGATCGCCGCGATGAAGGTGATCTCGTTCGGCTGCACGCCCTCGAGATCCATCAGCGAGAAGGTTTCCATGGCGGCTTTCTCCATCTCGTTCTGAGCAAGCGCGGCAACCATTGTGTTCCACGAGATCACGTCTCTGGCGGGCATCTTGCCGAAGAGGTCTACGGCTCTGGCGATCTGCCCGTTTTGAGCATATGCTGCCATCATCGCGTTCCACAGCGTGATACCTTGTTCTTTGTCTGATTGATCACCCTGTTTTGAGAGAAAGTAGCTGTCGAAAACACTCTGAGCGTCTTCCACAGCGCCACACTTGCCATACAGGTTGACGAGCGCGGTTCGCACGACCAAGTTCATCCCAAAATCATGCTCATGCCCGTCGAGTAGACAAGAGTGGATGATCCGTCCCAGATCCAGCGCCAAAACGCTTGCACAAGCGTCGAGGATGATCACATACATAACTCGGTCGGGGTGGACGCCCTCGAGATCCATCCGCCGGAACATCAAAATGGCCTCTAAAAAATGCCCAGCCATGGCATATGCCGAAACCATGAGCGTCCACGACACAACGTCCGGGGCTGGTATCCGATCGAAGCACTCTCTCGCCTCACGCAACAAACCACCCTTCGCGTAAGCTCCAAGCATCTCGTTCCATGACACTGTGTCTCTCTCGGGCATCTCCTCAAAGACCGCCCGCGCGAGATCGTAATGCCCGTTGTGGGCATACGCCGCGAGCATGATGTTCCAGGAGAAGACGTTGCGGCGCTTGATGCCGCGGAAGACCGAACGCGCCTCGCCGACGCTGCGGCACCTGCCGTACATCTGGACGAGGAGGTTGCAGAGGTAGCGGTCGGTGGCGTGGCCGGTGGCGGCGATCCGCGCGTGGAGGCGCCGCCCCTGCTCCAGCGCTTGCGCGCGCCCGCATTGCTGGAGGAGCGACGCGTACGCCGCCGGCGTGCACGACGAGCTGGGGCAAAAGTCGAGGCGATCGATCGCCTCGCTCAGCCGATCCAGCGATGCCAAAAGTCAAACCCGCTCGATTCGATTTGCCGCGAGAAATTGTGGCGAAAAATCAAATTGCCGCGAACAGTCAAACTTAAGAAATCTGCCGGAAGAAGCTGATCGATTAGCGAAAGCTTGTGAAGTTACTAAGAACGAGACCTTTGGGTTAAACATCAAGAAACTACCGGGATTAAATCGATCGCGCTTCCCATGAGAGGAAAGGGCAAAAAAGGGATTTGGGGTGAGAGAGGCTCGAACTCTCGACCTCAGGATAACTCAGAAGCTATGAGACCTACGCGCTGACCAACTGCGCCACCACCCCTGATGGAAGTAACGGTTTTAGCAAGTGACTTTAGCCATTCAGCGTAACATTGCGATGAAAGGGACGACGATGAAGGTAGGCTAGCCTAGCATCTCCCGCTTTTTTTTTTTTTTATCTTGCGCTTACTCCCACTCCCCAGTCCAGAGTGTGATGTGGTCCGAGCCAGAGCTGGCCGGATACCTGGACAAGCGCGGCAGGAGATCCAATTCGTGGAAGAGGCGCCTCTTCTTGCTCCAGGGCCATGCCCTGTTCTATTTCGTCAACGAATGCCAGGTTTCTACACAAGGCTTCCTCGTTTCCTTCCTTTAGTTTTCTCTCTTTACAGGTGCGCACGGGTTTGCCTTCAGCTGTTATCCCGATGGAAGGAAGCAAAGTCGAGGTTTCAGGACGATCGAGGGAGTCGAGCAATGGATTCGTCTTCCATTTGTTTCTCGGCGCGCAGTTCGCCGGGCTTGCGAGGCGCAGAGCTTACGTCCTTGCGGCAGACTCTCACGAAGCATTGGTGTGTTCTCCCCTCCCATATAAAAGGTCCACTGCTTATATCACCATCTTCTCGCGTCGCGGTTTTTGTAAAACGTCGTCTAAAATGAGCACAGGCGGCCTGGATCCGGATGATGAAAATCGCGTCATACTCTCGAGAAAGCCTCAATGGTGAGCCAAAGTTTTAGAGGATCTTATACTCTCGCCAACGATTCTCTTGTGACATCTACAGGCAAGCTATGGAAGTCGAGATCACGATATGCAGAGATCAAGCATGATTTATTCGAGTCGCCATCGGACAAGGAGCTGCTCGAGTCGAAAGCGGGGCTCGACACGCAAAGGCTGCAGGTTCCATTTCTGGTTGATTGATCACTAGAGACATCAAGACGTGATTTTTTCTTGCGGGACAGAGGGAGCTACGGCGATGCATGAAAGAGAAGGAAGAACTCGCAAGGGAAGTGGAAGAAGCCACTCTAGAAGCGGATAGGCGTGAAGTAGCAGTTTCTCATGCCGCAGCGTCGTGGGACTTGATGCAAATTCGCGCATCAAGCAAAGGTTTGTTCATTTTACATTTTTTCGCTTCGTCTCCATCTCAGTTGAGCCATCTAAATGTTTGAGCACGTAGGTGGTCGTGGCAGCTCCTTCTCGGATCTGGAGCATGAGCTGCAAAGTATCGAGAAGCTATACAAGCTCTTGCAAGCTAAAGGCAATCTGTACCAGGGTCTAGGCACTGAAAGTGTAAGGCTTTTGTCTTTGTCAAAACTGGCTTTTCGAATGCATTCTTTGCAGCTCCGGGGTGACGCTCAGATCCATCTACAAAAGCTACTAAAACATGCTGTGCTTTTGATCCAAGATCGTCACTCTCAGGTAGAACTTGTCCTTGAGAACGTTATCCTTTTTCCTCTCGTCTTGGAAGCTAACGAGCTCGTCTCGCAGATCCGTGCTGGAGCTCCCAGGTTCTCTTTCCACATTGATCCGAAAATCTACGACCAAGAAACTTTCAATGCGAATGGAAGTCACGAAGGAAGACGAACGACGCGAGGAGCGCAAAGAATGCGAGTAGCAAGAGCTAAAGCCTCGTAGGGAATGGACGAAGAACAGCCATGGCTCTTCACGCTTTTACGAGAGTAGTTCTCTGCAAGACGCAAGTGATCATGTTTTAAAATTGTCCGCATTGTTGTATGATCGAGATTTAGGGTTTAGAGTGTTCCTCCGCCATGGGCGATCTAGCGCTCGTCGCGGCGAGGCTTAGCTCGCCGTCCACCAAGGAGCGCGTCTCCCTCTTCCGCGCGAGCTTGTCATCGTTGCTCGATTTGCCAGGTGATGGATTTCTAGCTCTAGGTTTCGATTCCGGCAATGCTGACGCCCCTTCCAGACGAGCACGCGGTGGATCACGTCCCCGAGCTGGTTGCGATTGTTCTCGCGACGCTGCATCTCTACGATGATCGCGCCTCGCAGCTGGCAGTGGACTCGGTGATAATCAAGGCGCTCAAGCTGCCAGCTTTCGTCAAGGCTTTCACTGGCGCGCTTGTCCAGGCGGCCGAGAGGAACGCCAAAGTGTGTACCGCCTCCACGCAGCTCAAGCTCCTGCGATGGACGTGCTTTCTCGTGAGTTTTGCTCCCGCGGTTGTGTCCGCCAGGAATGCGTTCTCCAGGATTGCTGCGGTCCAGTCTTCGCTGCTCTTGGCACTCTCGCAGGCACGGTATCGTTTGAGGCTAGCTTCCAAGGCTTTGCTGCTTCGCTCACTGATCCAGGTATGGAGGTTTTCTTTCTCTTTCCTGGGATTTATGAAAGTTTCAATGCTGAAGGTGAATGGCTTGTACGAGAACTACGTCTCTGAGCTTGAGGCCTCGCCCTCGGAGAGAAGCGGGCTCATTTCTGTGCTTCTGGAGTTCGCTACAAGGGATCCAGCTCTTCTTTCGGTGAAGAAGGTAAGAAGTTTATTTGCAGAGCTCTTGGCAGTGAAATGTGTTATCTTGTCAGGCCTTTTTTGTCGATCTTTACGTGAAGTTGGTACTTGGATCGCGAGAGAAGCCTTCGAAGGCGATCAGCGAAGCGTTTGAGCCACTTTTCAAGCACCTGTCGCATGATCAATTCGGGGGAGTGGTCGTGCCGGCTGCAGTAAGGATGCTCAAGAGGAGCCCTGAGATTGTTCTGGAGGCCGTTGGAGTTCTTTTGAAGCAGACACCGCTGGATTTGAGCAGATACACAGGCGAGTTTCTACCCGTGGTTTTGCTCCAATGTCGACATAACGACGAGGGAAGGCGAAGGGAAGCGCTGCAAACTCTCAGCTGGATTGCACAAAAGTCGGGTGACACAGACTCGCTGTTAACAATGGTCCAAGCCATCAAGTCCATACTGGGAGGTTAGTTGTGTCTAAGAGCATTGCTAACTCACGGCTAACTTGCTCTTGTGCCAGGCTCTGAGGGTAAACTGACGTTCGTCTACCAAAGACTGGGGTTGATCTATGCGTTGCGCGCCATTTGTGGCGCTGGACAAGGCAAAGCGGTTATTCACGCTGCAGGTGTTATCAGCCCGGTGCTTATTTCTCTGTACAAAGACGATGGTAAGTCCTGGTGCTGGCTTTGATATTTTTGCTGCTTACATGTGTGGGACAGGAAACGAGGAAGTCCGAGTGGCCATTCTATCGTCACTAAGTTCATCGCTTGGAAAAGCCGAGCGTAACTTGCCAGCTGAATGCTCAAGTTTTTTCTCGGCTGGACTTAAAGAGAAAGAAACTATGAGAAGGGCACACTTGCGTTGTCTTCGCCAGGCATTTTTCAATGAAGAACTTCCGATTCTTGTGGGTTTGAAGCTTGTAAGGCGTTCTGTTCTGAAACAGCTTTTTTTGCAGGCGTTCCCGCTAGTTGATCAGCTGATCCAACTCGCCAAAACTGGCATAGGAAAACCTGCACAAAGAATAGACGGGATTTATGCTCTTCTTTTGCTACTCAAGATTGCATCCATCGACAGCAGAGCTGGTGAGCGATTCAAACAACATTTTGAGCCAATAAACATCCTTCTTTATATTCTTGTAGATGACAAGCTGCTCAAGGAAAAGATCATTTCGTCAATAACGATTCCCGAATCTACGTTTTTCTCGACAGTTGTATGACTTTTTCGTTGCCTCGTTTGGTTTGGTTTGATGTAACAACGTATGAACAGAATTTGAAAATGCAAACGGAAGACTGCAGTGCTTTGATAGAACTTCTTGAAGATTTTTCAAATTATCAGCTCTCCAGGTAGGCACAAATCGTATCTTTGCACAATATCAAAATTTACGTGGGTTGCAGAGGAAGTAACGAGGGGCTAACTGAACGTTCCAAGGTAATAAACTCAATCATGTGCCAGCAATTGCTAATGATTTTCTTGCTGTAGAGCCTCGTAAGCTTTCTTTGGCACCAGTCATGGGATGTAAGAAGAGCTGCAGCAGCTGCTGTCGGGCGTCTACAAGTAGCGTCTTTAGCATATGCGAAGGAGCTTTTCGAGTCCTTTTTGAATTGGCTTCCCACTTTACATGACCAGCTTCATTCGCAAATGCGGTAAATCTCACTCCTATGTTTTGAAGCTTGTATTTTTCTAATACTCAGATGTGCAGTGGAATCGAGAATGATAGTTCGCCTTTAGAGGTTCCTTCATCAGATATTCTTTCTAAAGCACTACTATCACTAGGATGTACATCACTAGTGCGGGATCCCTTGTATTGTACGCATTTCCTAATAGCTTTTCACCACGACTGTATCTTGCGTGGTCAAAAGTATAATCCATATTGGAAGGTAAGCAACCTTTTCCTGTGGCACATGCATCTGACTTCTTTGCCAGGACTTTGCAAGACGCATAAATAAACAAGACGGGGAACGTTCCCTTCGTGCCGTCCTAAGATCTGATCCCGGTGCTGTCTGGAAGGTTATTATTTGAATTTTTTGATGCTGGATCAGCCATACACTTGTTCATGCTGCAGGTCCTGGCCGGGGCGAACGGGTTGACCAGTGAACAACCGGCCATTTCAAAGGCAGCAATCGTTGCGCTTGGTTTAGTCATGCAAATGATACCTGATGAAATGTTCAATCATTTTATCCATGTAGGTTCTCTTCTTCTTATTGGAATTACGTACTTACTTCCTTGCAGGGTGTAAAGGATCTAGCGGATTGGAGCTCTCACAATGGTCTCAATGCCAGCGATATCAAGGTGGATATTACTCACGTACTAGTTTAATTTCGAACCTTCCTTGGCAGATATTCAACACTCCTGAAGGTGTTCTGTCTACTGAAGGCGGGGTGTATGTTGCGGAAGTGGTGGTGGATAAAAATGTCAAGCAGGCAAAAGGTCGATTCAAAATGTATAATGAATCCGGAAATGGAAAGGTACTAGGCTGTTTTTGACAGTTTATGGTGGCTAATGAGATTTGCTGTAGGACACAATGGCGAAGTCTGCTTCCCGGCCGTCTGCGCCTAGAGACGTGAGTAAAGCTTCTAAAAAGACTGGTACTTTTTTTGTTTTGTCAATATGTTCCATATGTGATTGCTTTTTTTTTTTTTTTTTTTTCAGGTGAATCGAAACCAACTAAAGAAGAAGCTAGAGACTATCTTTTAAAAGAAGAGGCTATTGTCCGTTCCAGAGTATGCCATCTAAGGACGCGGTTCACTGTGGTTCTAAGAGCTATTGCAGCTGTTGCGGATGCCAATTTATGTTTTGTGCATGATCATCTTCCTGCTTTGGTAAGCTATATACATTATTGCAGTTTTCACTCATATTTGACGAATGATCAGATCCCACTTGTCCTTCCGCTTCTGAAGTCGCCAATTGTTAGCGATGAAGCGTTCCATACGATGGTCAAATTAACGGGATCGGTGACTCCAGCACTCAGATACCTGGCAACTGATATTGCAGCTGCTATGAAAATATTGGTGTCGTCGTTTTCTCTACAAATTTACTTGGATGAGGAGAAAGGCGTTGTTCAGAGAGTGATCACGGGAATTGTGAGCGCTTGCGAGCGTGAACCATTCCCCGCGGAGTCTTTCACTCTAGTTTTTCCGGTATGATTTCTCTGCGTTTAATTCGTCTTTGTTCTAAACTTTTAGTTTTTACAGATTGTTGAGCAAGTCCTGCTCCAAACCAAGAAAACTAAATTTCATGACGGCCTACTTCGTGTCTTGTCAATCCATTGCTCTCCTCAAATGCATGTACCGCGCTCAAAAATGATTTCGGTATGCAGTTGTTTTCTGTGCTCATAAACAAATTCCGGCTGGCTGTTCAGGTGCTGTATCATGTGCTTGGTTTATTTCCAAGTTATCAAGCTGTGATTCTCCCAATTTTGAATGAGTTGTCCCGCGGTATTAGTCCAGTAGATTTGCCAGAGGTACTTTTAAAGTTCGTCTGTTTAGACATCTTAATTTATTGATTTGCAGACTCTCGCTGGTGTTTATTCCAAGTACGCGCATGTACGAGTTGCGTGCTTAAGCTCGACCAGATCGGTACCTGTATTTGCTAAAGGTGCAGTGCCTCACAACGCCGTTGTAGCAAGTGCACTGTGGATTGCATTATACGATCCTGAAAAGGTATGGTGCTTGTTGTTTCTTTCCCAACAAATGTGTTAGGAATTGTTTAGGTGGTAGCAGACATTGCAGAGGATATCTGGGACCTTTATGGGCATGATCTTGGAAATGATTATGCCGCAGGCATACTGGGAGCCTTGTCGCATGTGAACTTAAATGTTCGTCAAGCGGCTGCCACTGCGTTAGCTGCAGCCATGGAGGAGTATCCAAGCAGTACACAAGTAACCTTTTTGTATATTGTTTTTATCGCATGCTTACGTTGGTGTCAGGAAACACTATCGGCTTTGTTTACCCTCTATTCGAGGGATCTTCCTAGTGAAGGGAATCAGGTTGATCCTGGTTGGCCTGGAAGACAAGGTGTAGCGTTGGCCCTCGAAGCAGCTGCAGACATACTTACTGCCAAAGACTTACCAGTTCTATCAACTTTTCTTATTTCTCGAGCCTTGGTACGTCTCTGTGCTGAATAAGCAAGTAAAATGTATCGGTTTACTTCCTACAGGCAGATACGAACTCTGACGTCCGGTCTAAGATGGTGGAAGCTGGCGTAGCAATAATCGATAGACACGGAAAAGATAGCATTGCGGTTCTCCTCCCTATATTCGAAAACTATTTAAGTAGAAAGGTACGTGCTTCAAATCTTTTTACAGTTTTGTCTGTAATTACTCTGACTACGCAGGCAGTTGACGAAGAACGCTATGATTTAGTTCGGGAAGGTGTCGTGGTGTTCATGGGGGCTTTGGCCAAACATCTCTCTCAGGTATAATTTTCGTTTCTTTGCTACCTATAACGAAATGTCCACCAGGATGATCCAAAAATACTTGTCATTCTAGAAAGACTGCTCGAAATGCTGAAAACTCCTTCAGAATCAGTTCAACGTGCTGTGTCAAACTGCCTAGCTCCATTAATGCTGATCCACCAGGTATTTCACTTGAGTTTTTGGATAATTCAGCAACTTGATAATCAGGTGGATTCTGAGAAACTCGCAAAAGACTTGCTTGAACAACTTGTGCAATCGGAAAAATATGGAGAGCGCTACGGAGCTGCATTTGGATTGGCCGGGGTAGTAAAGGGGAAGGGGCTGTCTTGCCTGAAGAAGTTCCGTGTAATGAATGTCCTGATAACTAGCATTGAGGACAGGTGAGTCGTTTTGCTTGCGTTATCGAGTTTTACGTTGAAATGGTGCAGAGACTCCGCAAAAGCTCGTGAGGGCGCATTGCTAGGCTTCGAATGCCTCTCCGAGAAACTTGGACGTCTTTTTGAACCGTAAGGATTTATTATACTAGCATTTCATCTGTTTAACATTTTGCTGCAGGTACGTAATACGAATCCTACCAGAGCTGCTTGTGTGTTTCTCCGACTCCGTTTCAGCAGTACGCGACGCGGCTGATCTAACTGCTCGGACTATTATGTCGCAACTTACCGGTCAAGGTGTTAAACTTGTTTTACCGGCTCTTTTGAAGGTGAAAATTTCATTGAACTGGAATTGCTTTCTTACTTCGTGTATTCATCTGAATATAGGGGCTAGAAGATCGAGCATGGCGCACAAAACAGGGAAGTGTTCAACTGCTTGGGGCTATGGCTTTTTGTGCTCCTCGGCAGCTCTCGCAATGCTTGCCAACAATTGTCCCGAAGCTTAGCGAGGTAAACATATCTATTTGAAATACATGATATTTAAAATACCGTTGTCTTCTTGCAGGTGCTCACCGATACACACCCGAAAGTTCAAGCAGCGGCTCAAACTGCTTTACAGCAGGTTACTACTTCTACTGAATTTGTTTTCTTTTTTCTAAGGTGATTTGCCTGTTAACAAGGTGGGAAGTGTCATAAAGAATCCGGAGATTTCGGCGCTTGTTCCTTTACTGCTAGTTGGAATTTCTGATCCGAATGAACACACAAAATCTTCTCTTGATGCGCTATTACAGGTACAATTGAATTCCTTGTTTCTTTGACGAACATTAGTGCACTGCAGACAATATTTGTTAATACCGTGGATGCTCCGGCCTTGGCTCTTGTGGTCCCTATTGTTCATCGCGGTTTAAGAGAGCGAAGTTCGGAGACGAAGAAAAAGGCCGCTCAGATAGTTGGAAACATGTGCTCCTTGGTTACTGATTACAAAGATATGCTTCCATACATGCTATTACTGCTTCCGGAGGTCAAAAAGGTTCTTGTGAAACGCATTGAACTTTCGCTATCTAATCTGCGGTTTTCCAGGTTTTAGTGGACCCGATTCCTGAAGTTCGTTCTGTTGCTGCAAAAGCTCTTGGCTCCCTTACCAAGGGTATGGGAGATGACAACTTTCCATCACTAGTGCCGTGGCTTCTTGAGACGTTGAAGTCTGAAAATAGTAGTGTCGAAAGATCTGGGGCTGCTCAAGGCTTGAGCGAAGTTTTGGCTGCGTTAGGCATGGATTATTTCGACAAGCTTCTACCGGATATCATAGAAAATTGTACGCACCCACGGGCTGCAGTACGTGATGGTTATCTCACGTTATTTAAGGTAACTTGTTCTGCATCATTTGAGTCTCTTCATCTTTTCGTATTTTGCAGTATCTGCCGAGCTCCCTTGGTTTATCGTTTCAGACTTATCTGCCTCGTGTTTTACCAGCTATTCTTGACGGTGGGATCTCCTTCTTTGCAATTTGTAATCTAATGTTCTCTTCATTTCAGGACTGGCCGACGAAAATGAATCGGTCCGTGACGCGGCATTGAGTGCCGGACACGTTTTTGTCGAACACTATGCAACAACGTATTTTAATTTTTATCACGATATTGTTTTGAAACTCTATCCATTTCCAGGTCATTACCACAACTCCTTCCTGCTGTTGAGGAAGGGATTTTTCATGATAATTGGCGGATACGACAGAGTTCTGTTGAGCTTCTTGGAGACCTTCTCTTCAAGGTGATATTCTTCTTCTTCAGTTTTTTTTATAAAATTATCCTCCTTAGGTGGCCGGGACGTCTGGGAAAGTTGTATTGGAAGGAGGAAGTGACGATGAAGGAGCAAGCACCGAAGCCCATGGCCGTGCCATTGTGGACATTTTGGGAAGTCAGCGCCGGAACGAAATTTTGGCTGCTCTATATATGCTTCGGTCGGATGTTGGTATGACGGTTCGACAGGTATTGTGATTCCTAGGCTTGATGAGAAGAAGTCAAGTGATGATTGATGTTCTTACAGGCAGCTTTGCACGTCTGGAAAACAGTGGTTGCGAACACCCCAAAGACTTTAAAAGAAATAATGCCGGTTCTTATGAGCACACTCATATCATCTCTCGCGTCATCATCTGCTGAACGCCGTCAGGTGCTTTTCAAGTTGCTAGAGGAGGTTGATTTTACGTTTGAAATTACAGGTTGCAGGTCGATCTTTAGGGGAGCTAGTTCGAAAATTGGGAGACAGGGTTCTTCCATCAATAATTCCGATTCTTGCGCAGGGTCTGGAGGATGAAGACGACGGCACGAGACAGGTTTGGCTTCTTACTTCTTAAAAACATATTTCTCAACTCTTTTGCAGGGAGTTTGTATGGGGTTGAGCGAAGTTATGGCTAGTGCTGGAAAACTCCAGCTTGTAACTTACATGGGAGAACTAATTCCGACTATAAGAACCGCTCTCTGTGACAGGCATGCAACTGGTTTTGAAGTTTCATTCCTAAATATTCAACTTCTTGTTGCTTGTAGTGTGAGTGAAGTACGAGAGGCAGCGGGACTTGCATTCGGCACTTTATTCAAGGTTTGTTTTGGTTTATCTTAAGATAATAGTGCATGCTATGAAACCTTTTTTGCACAGAGTGCTGGAATGCAGGCGATTGATGAGATTGTCCCATCTCTTCTTGGTGCTTTAGAGGTCTCGGAAACATCTGGCACAGCCTTAGATGGGCTGAAACAGATTTTAAGGTAAAAATCTACTTTAAAGAAGTGCTAAATTTTATTTTTTCTATGTTGTAGCGTTCGAACTGCAGCTGTTCTTCCACATATTTTACCCAAGCTCGTACAACCACCACTGACGTAAGATTGATTTTTCACATCAGATTCAAAAGCTTCTTGGATGCAGTGCGTTCAACGCCCATGCTTTGGGAGCATTGGCAGAAGTGGCTGGTCCAGGCTTGAATGGTCATCTTTCAACGATTTTGCCGCCCCTAATCGCGGCAATGGATTCAGATGAAATGGTACGTGCAATTTTTGGTTTATCGAGATTATTCATCACTGCTCTACAGGATGTGGCTTCTTTTGCAAAGAGTGCGGGTGAAACAGTTGTTTTGGCTATTGACGGAGAAGGACTTGAGTATCTTCTCTCGGAGCTTGTCCGCGGCCTTGGTGATACTCAGGTATGATTTCGTGAGCTCCTTCGAGAAGGATTGCCTGTCCGTGTTTCACTTTTTTATTGTCCGTTGTAGGCTTCAATCAGGACATGGTCGGCCTACCTTACGGGATATCTTTTCAAAAATACAAAGCTGGACCTGAGCGACGAGCTGCCCAACATTTTGACTACTCTGGTAGTAATGCTCACTGATGTCAACGACAATACTGTTAAAGTAAGTCTCATCTTTACACCGGGCTGTTGTTCACTTCTTTACGCGTTCAGGCTGTTTGGGAAGCATTGGCGTCCGTGACTGCTACCATATCCAAAGAAAACCAACCGTCCTATGTGAAAGTCTTACGTGATGCTGTGTCCACTGCCCGGGACAAAGAGCGTCGCAAACGGAAGGTTGGCTTATAAGTTAAACAGCTCTTTTTTTTACTTATAATTTTTATTATGCAGGGCGGCCCTGTCGTAATTCCTGGGTTTTGTTTGCCAAAGGGACTGCAGCCGGTTTTACCTATTTTATTGCAGGTATGCTGTTGCTTACGTTTTTCCACTAACTAGCTTTCTTGCCATGCAGGGGCTCATGAGTGGTTCTGCTGATTTGAGAGAACAAGCAGCAGAGGGTATTGGGGAGCTAGTTACCGTGACAAGTGAGGCTGCGGTTAAACCTTTTGTGGTGCCAATAACGGGGTAAAGTTCGCTTGTTTAAATGTTGGTGCCAACTATTTGGTTTGTTTCTCAGGCCTCTCATTCGCATCATTGGAGACCGATTCACCTGGCAAGTAAAGGGCGCAATTTTAGGTACTCTGGGAATTATCATCAGCAAAGGAGGCATCGCTCTGAAACCGTTTCTTCCACAACTACAAACAACTTTTATGAAATGTCTTCAGGACAATACGAGGTACATTTAGCCAGTTGCGATTCTGTTTCCATAATTCTGCTCTTTCTGCCTTTAGAATTGTTCGATCACGTGCAGCTGCATCGCTTGGCAAACTATCGATACTAAGCACAAGAGTTGATCCTCTTGTTGGGGATCTTGTTACAGGACTTCAGGTATTACTTAAGTATTCGCGTTACAATGTGTGACTTGAAACTTTGGCAGTCTGCGGAAGGTGGAGTGAAAGGAGCCATGCTGGTTGCTCTTAAGGGGGTCGTCAGGCATGCCGGCAAAAGTCTGAGCTCGGCCGTTTTAGATCGACTTACGGTTTTGTTACAAGACCTCTTAGCTACAGAAGAGGAGGAGCACAGGATACTCGCCGGCAAAACCTTTGGTCTCGTTTCTCAGGTTCTAATTTACATATTGCCTCCCCTTCTTAGTAACTGTTGGCTTTTTTTTATCTGCAGTTCGTTGTGGATGACAGTTTCTCGGCATTGCTTCATGCCGTTCTAGTGCCTGGAACGTCTTGGACGTCGAGACATGGCATGACACTTGCTCTAGCATCAATAATTCGTTACTCCCCTAGCCGCTTATGTGCTTCACCATCTCTGCATTCAGCATCACTTAACACCTTGAAAACCAGGGTCAAAGATGACAAGGTACAAATGCTTGTGTGCAACTATACAGCACTGTCTGATTGTGTGCTGTCTGTAGGCTTCTGTAAGGGAGTGCTGTACACGGGCTTTTGGACGTCTGGTAGCCTATGAGCTACAATCTCGGCCCTCCGACGCCTTGAAGTCTTTGTCAGACGTGCTCCCTGTCCTTGTTGGCCTTCTTAACGACGATGCCAGTGATGTTAGGCGCGCGTCCCTTAGCAGCATAAAGATCATAGCAAAGGTATGCTTTTGGTTTGTTTTTGCGAGGCTGGAATTTCCTTATCATTATATCTGTTTGTTCACAGATCAAACCAGACTCATTGGCCGCGCGTATAACTACCTTAGGACCAGCGATTGCAGAGTCTATGAAGGATTCCAACACCCCCGTCCGAATGGCGGCGGAGCGTTGCGCGTATCATGTTTTCCAGCTGAACAAAGGTGAGCTACCAACAATGTAATTCTATAGAGCTCGCCCCTCACTGACGATGGATACGTTGCAGGACCGGAAAATACTCAGGTCGCGCAGAGATACATTACTGGTCTTGACGCCAGAAGAATAGCCAAGCAGCCAGAGCAAAGGTGAGATTGTAGCATGACGTTATTTTCCTTCCATGCTGCTCTAACTACGTAAACTCTTGCAGTGACGACAGCGATGCCAGTGAGATTGATCAATAAGTAAGCAGGCAGAATATTTTTGTTCTATATTTTGCGTCCACTACTGGAGCGGGCCTCGAGTCCTTCTGTTCCGGTAATCATCACTATCATACTCATATACTTCCTGGTATAATAACAGCCGCAAGCCACCTTGTTTTGTATTTCGAAAGTTGCTAATTCCACGATATTTTTTACACAAAAAGAATATAGGTGCGTGTTTTCAGCGAGGTTGATTCATTGGCAAGTTGGAGTTGCTTGTGACCGAGGAAGGACTCCTGGAAATTTGGATAGAACTCGATTTGTTTGAAGCCATCTTGACAAGCGCGTCCGTGTAAAACCCGGGAGCTGCATTCTGGAGCGCAGCGAAGTAGCCGGGCTGTAGCGAGGTAACGTCGATGGTGGCAGTCCCCAGAAGCATCGCCACAGCGTGTGACATTGTTGGACGAGCCGATGCGAGTGCCTGGCTGCACAGAAGAGCCACCTGAATCACCCTTAGGACCTCTCCCTCGTCAAACTCTGGCACTTCCGGATCCAGAAGTTCTAGTGGCCGGTTGTTCTCGTAGAGGTGCCATGCCTGAAAGCAATGACCATTGATGGTTTTCAAGGAGGATCTTGTCATGACACTTACCCATTCTAGAAGATAAACCATTTCAGTGGGTAAGGATGTGTCCAAGTTGTCTCTTCCACTCACAATTTCCAGCACCAACACCCCAAAGCTGTAGACGTCGGCCTTCTCTGTCAGTTGGCCCCTCATTGCGTACTCTGGAGAAAGATAGCCTCTACAATAAGAAGAAGCTAGTGTCAGGATAAAACATGGAAGAGTGGTGCTTACATTGTTCCTGCGACACGGGTGCTGACGTGAGTCTGGTGATCCTTGAAAAGCTTTGCCAAACCAAAGTCTGCAATCTTTGGATTGAGGGTCTTGTCGAGAAGCACGTTGCTGGCTTTGATATCCCGATGCACAATCCTTGGAAGTGATTCTTCGTGCAAGTATGCAATGCCTCGAGCAATGCCAACGCAGATATTGAAACGAGTTGGCCAATCAAAATGGATTACTCGTTCTTTCGGTTCTGGAAATCACCATGAGAAAAGAGAAGGACGCTTGCAAACTTACTGAGTAAAGCTTGGTGAAGACTGTTATTCTCCAGGAACTCATAAATTAAAATGCGATGGCTTCCTTCAATGCAGCAACCATGAAGCTTAACCAGATTACGATGTTGAACAGCAGAGATGACGGTTACTTCGTTCAGAAACTCCCGAGTCCCTTGATTTGATTTAGATGAAAGCTCCTTCATTGCTACAATTGTACCATTTGGCAGCACCCCCTAAGGAAAAAAGAAGGAACACTGAAAATAAAGCAACACTTAGTTCGTATACCTTGTAGACACTCCCAAATCCACCCTGTCCGAGCTTATTTTCGGGAGCAAATCCTCGGGTAGCTATCTTCAAGTCGTTGTAAGAATAGAGATTTGGCTTTGCTTCCAAACTTCTCAAATCTGTTGGAAGTAAGGAAAAATCACGTTATTGAGGAACATGTCTCGTGTACCTTCTTCATCTTGTCCATACTTCAGTCGACGTCGTTTTCGGATAAACAAGATAGCAAAGATCGCCGCCAGAAAAACTACAGCAACAGAAACACCAACCCCAACACCGATGGGTACAACTTTAGAATCGCTGGAGGGGGAAGGTGTTGCTGGAATCAGCCCAGAAGTATCAAACTCTAAGAAGTAAAGTGTGTTAGAACATCTTATACTAAAACTCAGCATATATACCAGGCCGGACTCGAATTGCAGATATCAGAGGTCCAAAGGAAAGCGGAGCTGGAGAGCAGCAAGTCCCTCTGCCTCTCCATAAAAGATGAATTTCAAGAACATTATTGGAGACTTGAGCAGGAAAGGGTCTCACGATGGCTATATAAGAACCATTGGCTTCTGCTCGAATATCGAAATCTTGCAACACCCTTGACCCCTGTAGAATTTGTTTTCAGAAGAATAACTATAGAGCAAGCTTTTCTTACCTGGATATAAACGTCAAAGAACCTTCTTCCTAGCCCCGTCCACCCCGAGCTATCGTCCTGAATAACAATTTCCGCAAAATGAAGATCCACTTGATAGGGCCCGTTAACCATTCCAAGCCCAAAGTACTTCAAAGAGGTAGGAGAAGCTCTGGCTGTTTGATAGAGTGACGAGTCTCGAGTTCCAGTAACGCGTGTAGCTGCAGTTGGAACTGAATTGAACGTGTTCCCGTTAAAATCAACATAGCCAGTGCTGCTAACTGCCCATGATTGGCTTGAGTTCGAATAATAAACCGCTTCCGATAGAGAAGACGAATCTTCGGTGAAAGTCATTCCGTCAGCAGAAACCGCTGGACCACCACAGTTGATAGACAACTCAAAGTCTGAATGATACCAACGTTAGTACACAAAGAAAGGGAGGACTCGTACTTCTTCCAGCATCAACGGCGTTGCATCCCATTCGAGTCTCCAAACAGTTCATCTCAGCTGCAGTTTGCCTGTAGACATTCTGTTAGTATATAGAATCTCAATCAGCATTATTTACCCTTGCGCATTGGAAACGTTAAAACTGTTCCAGATGATATTTCTGCAACAATACAGATGAACTTTAGTAAGAACGACCCGATAACGAAAACAAGGATACAAACTCTTGCAATCGACTTCTGTTGAGAGAAGATGGAAGGGCTCCTGTCAGGTTGTTGAAAGAAACGTCCCTGCTCAGACCAAGGTCAGCAAACATAAGCCTTAAGTGCATATAAACTTCTCTACAGAATTCCAAGACCGGTGAGAGAGCCAAGTTCTGCAGGAATTTCTCCATTCAAATTGTTGTTTGCCAATACTCTGGACACAGGCTGTAAGAATTTAAGTTAATGTTTGACAAACACGCTTACAGATTTTCCAAAGATGGTAGCGATGCGAGAGAAGAGGGAATAACACCAGTCAGTTGGTTGAAACTTAAATCACTGCGCATATCAAACAATGAACTATAGCGAAGAAAATGAAAAGACACTTACATGAACACAAGTCTGGTCATATTGCTGAAGTCCGGTATCGAACCTGACAGCTCACAGTTTCTCAACGATCTGTGCAAGTGAAAATGAGAAGAAAGAAAAGAAAAAAGAAAAAAAAATTACAATCTGCTTAAAAGTGATAGCCGATTCAAAGACTCTGGAATGCGAGCCCCGGCAGAAACGTCCCCAATGTATCTGGAGATACCAGAACTTTAGTTTATGAAAAAAAACAACAATAATTACAATTTCGTCAAGTTTTGAAGAGCGCCTAAGCTCGATGGAAGTTGTCCTCGGAACCTGTTTCCTTCCATTGTCCTGCGAAAAAATGGTTACCAAGGATACAAGTAGCAAAAGACATTTTTTACAGCTCCTGGAGGCTGGATAAGTTTCCAAGAACGTCTACTGAGCCATTGAAGTTGTTATCTGATATCGATCTGCAATTTCCATCAATGTTAAGCCAAAATATGCAGAAAGCACTAACAGGATTTGTAGACGTTGTAAACTTCCAAGTTCGGGAGGAATTTCTCCACTTAACCCACTTGAATCCATGTACCTGGATGCCAGATATAAAAACACCTCAATGGAAATGCTTTACTTTTATACGTACAACTGTTCTAGGAATCGCAGGTTGCCAATCTCTGGTGGAAGCGAACCAGTAAGATAGTTGGTACCAATGCCCCTACGAAAACATAAAAATATCAATAACGAAACAAAAACAAAAGTGACATTACATGCTACGCAGCTGAGTAAGCCTGCCAAAACTTGCAGGCAAGGGTCCTCTAAGCCTGTTAATCCCAATATTGCTGTTGTTCGTATTAGCAACGTAGGAAAAAAAAATGTGAGAAGCTAACGACACTTCATGAACGACAAGAGAGTTTCGTACAAGTACTGTAGGTTGGATAAGGATCCCAATTCCGCTGGAAGTGTACCAGTGATCATGTTTTGACCAAGGTTCCTGCAAGTCCATGTATGTAACCACACCGTGGAAAACGGAAGAACTTACAGATCGAAAAGAGAAGAGAAGTTCCCAGTTTCCGGAGGAATCTCGCCTGCTACATTCATATTGAAAACAACACTAGGAAAAACAGACCAATCAATTAAGCACCAAAGAGTGGAAGCCGAAAACTTACAGCCGAAGCACATGGCAAACGGAAGAGTTCCCGGAGCAGTCGCACTGGACTCCACTCGCTGGTTGATATCTCTCCGCCGGAGCTGTGTTGTTCCATCCGTAGAGACCACTGCAAGGATCGACGCTGAAGTTCCATGCCGGTGAGAGGCCTATCCGGGATCCAAAAACTCGGAGTGCCTCCACTGTGGAAAAAAGAGTTAAGAAACTCGTGGAAGAACTTACAAAATTAGAAGCTACCTTCTGTCGGATCGAGCGTTCTCTGCTGCTGTCCTTGTGCTGCTCCATGAAGAAGCAGCACAAAAAGAAAAAGAATCGAAAGCGGTAGCTCCTCCATTCCAGGTCCAAATCTTCAGAGAACCATACTGATAGTACAGAGAACAGTAGCTCGGCTCACGAGCAAAGAAAAAAGAATGACAAAAAAAATCGAGGCGCAAAGTGAGAACATACTCATTTCTTTCGCTTCGCAAGTCATCGTCTAAATTCCAATGCGGCGACCGTAGACTTTGTCAAATTGTCACTCTCGATTTTTTTTCCAAGATCTTGGACCGACACAATCGTCAGAGTGTGCAAAATCGACCAAGAAGAAGTCAATCGCCGCGATTAGCAAGAGGATTGACTTGTTTATAGCTTAAAAAAGAACTTGCCTTGGGGGCTATTGATCGATCGACCCGGGGAAATAATGAGTCGCGCAGCATACCGCAACTGCTGCCATGGAAACGATTCGAATCGAGCAAAAAGAATGCGCCATCGCCATAAACCCTAAAATATTGGAAAGCTTTCGAATTGGGGGGGGAAAGTTTCCCTAGCGGCACTCTTGGTGAGTGAGGGAATAAAGAAACAAACGCGCGGCTTTAAATGGCGAGACATCGATGAATTGGTTGATCGATCCAGAATGGCTCCCTCTTCTCTCGCGATCCTCTTCTTCGCGCTACTCGCATTGGCGCCATCGGGCACCAGCGATCCAATAGCAGCGGCGCCGCGTGAGAACGACGATCAAGCCATTAGCGGGCGAATGGAGCGGCCGTGGAGCATCCTCCAGTTCTACATGCACGATCAAACCTCGGGCTCCAATCCCACCACCGCCTTCGTCACCACGCCGCAGATCAACAACGACACTTACTTCGGCGTCGTCGCGGTGTTCGACGATCTGCTCACGCGATCGCCCTCGATCCAATCCGCCAGGGTCGGGAGAATGCGCGGGATGTTCACCTTCGATTCCCTCTCCGCGCTGAGCTTGCTCCAGAGCGCCACGGTGGAGATCTTTGGCCGCGCCGGGAGCATCAGCCTCCATGGCCAGAATCCCTTCCTGGATCCCCAGCGCGAGCTCGCCGTGATTGGGGGGAGTGGCGAGTTTCGTTGCGCGCGAGGATACGCGACGGTGTCCACCGTGGGCAACGAGCCTGGCGGACTTGTGCTCTTCTGGAACATCTTCTACAGGCTAGACTGCTAGACTCGTGCTGACCACATTTGACTATACTTGACTTTTCTTACACTCTCTCTCTCTCTCTCTCTCTCACATAGCTTTGATATAGTCCGGGAAAACTACTGAAAATCATATGGATCATGAGCACAAGAAAACTCTGTAATAAACTCAAGCACAAACTTGGAGAAAGATGGTAGTCTCCTAGGCTCGCTTGATCAGAAGTTATTGGCTACAAGAAAACTCGTTTACAAACTCGAGCACAAACTATAGAGAAAGGTCGTAGTTTCCTAAGCTTATGCTTGATCAGAAGTTGACGCTCAATCGGCTAGAGCACTCCAGTGTGAGCCGCCTCTGGATCTTAGTTCTCGACGATCGTTGCTGCTCCATCTCTTCTTTGCTCCATTTCACATGAGCTGCGCTCCTAGATCTGGATGCTAGAGCAGCCTTTGTTGGAGTGCTCGAGTCTTCCTCCTGTCCATTTGGAGTCATGAGAGCCGGATTTCTTACTTGCTGCTGCTGCTGCTGCTGTGGATGATGAATCCTTTGCCGAGAAGCGGGAACTATAGCGCGTTTTCTTCCCAGATCGATGGAAATCTGCGGAGAGTCCGAGCTAGCGAAGCTCTTGATCTTCTTGGCGAGCAGGCTTTCCGGCCAGATTGGCTCGTTGAACTCTTGCAACGCGCACCGGTTCTTGCACAGGCTGCTTATCGTCGGTGTCATAAACCTCGGCAAAGATGGTGTACTTGGAGATGGATTCGTCGTAACCGCACAGGTTAGCTTGTCGTTGCGATGGTCAGAGCTTTCGAGGAGCTGATGAGCGTCACTGAAACGTGTGGAGTTTCTTTTCTTCTCGTTGATGGTCGACTCGAGAGCCTGGATATCGACACTTAGGCGCTGGCACTCACCTTCCAGAGCCTCCATTTTCTGGACGATGCTGGAGATCCGCGCTTCTCGCTCCCGGGATTTCTGTGGAAGGAGATCACCTCAAGGTTGAAAGAAAGAACAACAAATAAATAAAATCTTACTGCTGCACAGTCGCGACTTAAGTGAATTCCTCGCGCTCTAGCTGCGAACGTCAAGGAACAAATGGTCTCTGCCGAGTCCTCCTCCCTGGGACTTGCATGGACGAACATGACAACTTTGGAGTTACATCCTACAGACAAAAAACAATCAAAAGAACCGAAAAAATGAAAAAGAACAAGTTTCCTTACCGAGGCAATCCCGAAGAATTTGCGTCAGCTTGCTGTTCCTGGAGAAGCAAAATGTTTGTGATACCATTCGAGCTATAGTAAGGGCTCTATGCATACCTGTAAGGAATGTGTGCTTGCTTTTTTTGTAGAGCACTGATCACGTCTCCCAGTGCAGTGAGGGAGACGTTGATGGATTTGCCTTCCTCCAAAACCTTACCCCATGCCTGGGTTTTGAAGAAGCGTTCGCTGCCACCGAGATCAATAAGCCACACTTTGCTTCTCGAGACTTTATCTAACTGGGACTTGCGAACAATGTTTACTCGAACCAAGCTGCACGATCAATATTGTCAAGCCTATATACACGAAAAATAGAAGAAAAGAGGAAATCGAACCAGTGTGATCTGCTGGAGCTTTCATTTGAGCTTGTGGACGAAGTGGATCTGGCACGAGTACCTTTCCTGTAAAACTTGAGAGCGTCTGAGAGATTGTCTATCACATACTCCGTCAGGTTCTCGACCTCTACGTGATCCGAAACGCTCAGATGAATATTCAAGCTACAAAGAAAAGCGGCTTAGAACGTATAATGATCATGTCACAGAGACAAACCTTTTTGCTGGAGGGTCTGTTAGTCGCGTCGGCCGAGGAACCAGAAGATCACGCAGTGTTCCTTTGTAAATCTCCAACATGCTCAAAGTGAAGCGATAGTCACTGGTTGGCAAATTCTTGTCCTTGAAAAGCTGCTGCAGTGTCCGAGGAACAATTCCAGGGGCTCCTTTCTGGCCTTCCTGCTTATCACTCGACTGTTAGCATTGAGAGAAATGAAGAACACTTCCAGAGCGTGCTTACCATTGTGTAAGTCTTCCCAGTGCCTGTTTGGCCGTAAGAGAATATACAAATGTTGTGGCCGTCCAGAGCAGACTTGATAGTCGGCTGCACGTCCAGAAAAACATCCTCTGCAAGAATTGAAGCAAGTTTCTTCAGAATCTACATCTCGAGAAATGAAAAATGTTCGTACCTTGCGAGGCCGAGGGAGAAAATACTTTATCAAACTTGAACGTTTTGGAAGGCTCCCCGTTGGAAGAGACGCGAACCTCGGTCGGAGAGACAACCTCGCAGGCATGGGCGACATTTTCGTGAGGGAGATAAGGCCTCACTCTGCAAAACACTCGTACATTCCCTGCAAAGCTAGCATTAAACAGGTATTATCAACAACAAGGCCGGAAAGACGAAAGAAGAAAAAAGAAGAAGCAAAAAGAAGCAGAAGCATACCTTGGAGATCGAGTAGCTTGCCGAGGCTCAGCCTTCTGTTAACATTCGACAGAGCAAAAGCTGCCTTGAGTAGAATGAGCTCTCCTGGCGAGAAAGTCTTATTCAGCTTTAAGAGGAGGAAGTAAAGCAAGAAGAAAAGAGGCCAACCTTCGAGAGCTCCGAGAGAATCTCCTGGTTTGCTGCCACTAGCGTTGTCTTCCTGAGAGCCCTCCGAATGGAAGTCCTCGATGACGAGCTTCACCGAGTTCACGAGGCTAAATTCCTTGCGCGCGTCCAGGCTGAGACACCTGAAAGAATCCCCGAGCCGCTCGAACGACTGATCGAGATCGAGAGATCCCATCACAAACTGTGGTTGCTACTTCTTAGAAAACATCCAGAGGCAATGGAGATGTTCTCAAAATGATTGAAGCTGCAGACAAAAGCACAGGACTGCCATTAGCAAAAGGAAAGCAGTAGTCATCACAGAAAGAGGATGAACAGCGAAAATAAAGAAAAGCTCCTGAGCGACTGTGAAAGTTTCTCCGACATAAAAACTTTGTTTGTCTCGATCGGTGGGCGAGAACTATTCAGTCGATGCAGCAGTCTGCACTGTTTTCCAGGAAAAAACCATTCATCAAGAAAGAAAAAAAAAGGGAGCCCAGCTCCGATAATCGACACAGAGACAAAGGCGGAGGACTTGATCGACCGCAAAAACCTCCAAGGCTATGGCATTTCTGTCACGAACTTCTCACACCCACGAAAGAACTCGCAAGAACTTCGCAAACAACACTTCCAAGGCAAGGGTTTCTACACACCTGGAAGAAGATCCGTTGCTCAAACCTAAGATTTCTTCCAGGGATCTTGTGTGCGAGAGAGAGCGAGAGGTCCCATCCATCACACACGCTTTGAATGTAGTGCAATGGTGTGTGATGCATGGCATGACATAGTTCGCATTTTGCCCCCATCATGCATTGTGACATGTTGCATGATTCATGATTGCGACTATGATATATAGCTCTAGGCTATGCGTTACATACATAGAATGCTATGGGTGTGATGCATGGCCATGGATTATAGCGAAATCTCCACTGACAGCCGTATCTATACATTGTCTCGTTGTAATATATTCCCTTCACAATGCTTGCGTTAATTAATCGCGCAGGGCAGGACTGAGAAAGACGTTTTTGTCGAAAGGGTTTTATGCGAAATGCCCTTGTAGCTCAGTGGTAGAGCGCCAGTCTTGTAAACTGGAGGTCCAGAGTTCAACCCTCTGCGGGGGCAAAGTTAATTGCAATGTACTTTTTACATTGGTTTGTCCTGATCGCTACATGGAATCACTTGTGCTGATCAATTCGTAGCGTTTGCTTCCATTCTCCTTGATCGCGTTGGAGACCTTGGCAGCTGCCACGAGCAGGATCGCTCCGGCAGCTCGCAGCGCCACCGTCGGCTTCACGCCCGCGAAGATTTCCCAAAACATTGCGGTTTTCTCTTTTGGATCCCAACTCCTTCATCCACAAATTGACGAAGACGAATGGAGAATTTTGAGTGACTGGAGTGGGGAGTTTCTAGTTTTCATGTCGAGGCAGGACAGGAGCGAATACCTTGCAATTCCCGAGCGCCTCTCTAGCCCTAACCTTTCACATCTGGACAACTCGACAGCTCGCCACGTGTTCGCTTTCTAGGGAGGTCGTGAGCTCGATTCCTGCCAGCTACTTCTAGGGTTCTTGCGATGATAGGCGCCAGAGCTGTGAAGCAGATCGTCAATGTCGTGGACCGGCGTCTTGGGAAGGGCAAATCCGAGGTAAGCACGATGATCTTGATCTCATAGAATGCAAGCACAAGATCGCATTTCCAGGTCAGTGTGAATGCTCTCTCGTTTTTGTTCTCCGAGATCGTGCAGTACAACCAGACGCGAGTAGATAACATCGCAGAGCTCGAGCGCAGGTAAAAAATCTCGATGCTTCACTGTGAGAATGTATGTGATGGAAGTCTCTCAAAGATTGGAGGATCAGGGATATGGCGTTGGTCTCCGTTTCCTCGAGCTTTTGTGTCACAGAGAGAAGGTAAGAATCTCTAGTAGACGTGTTAATTTTTTGTTTTAACTCTCGCATAGGGTAACAAACGAGAGATACGATTGCTAGGAATCTTATCTTTTGTCCACACCACCGTCTGGAAGTCTCTCTTTGGAAAGGTAAGTCTCGTGGTTTTTCTTTCAGGCAAGTAGAAGTGATCTCTCCGAATAGGTTGCCGACTCGTTGGAAAAAGGCACGGAGCACGACGACGAGTACATGATCAGCGAGAAAGAACTTCTCGTGAACAAGTAAGTTTCTCTGGAAGTTTGTGCTGCGAAAAAACGCATTAATTTTGCCATGGTTTTTAGATACATCTCAGTGCCCAAGGACATGGGAGCGTTTAACTGCGGAGCATATGTCGCGGGTATTGTAAAGGTTGGGCATAGATGTCTCATTTCAAGTAAAAATTCTGAGGTTTTCTCTCCTCGCAGGGTGTGTTGGAAGGTGCTGGATTTCCTGCGAGAGTAACGGCTCATTACGTACCAATGGAAGGCCAGAGTCGGCCAAGGACAACAATTCTAATCAAATTTTCCGAGGAGGTAAGATAAAGCATCGTCCCTGCGGTTCTAGCTTTTAATCCTTTGCGGCGTAAAAATTCTGGCAGGTTTTGAGACGAGAGGCACGTCTTGGCTAGCATGAAATATGCATTGTAAGAAGAAGGCTGTGGCCAAAGAAACAAGTGAGCTTTTGTTTCCACTTATCAACAATTAACCAGCTTATGTGGACGAATAAAGGATGCCACATGTTTTACAGCAGAAGGCCACGGAAGCAAGTGATTGGGTAATGGCTGTGGCAATGGCGCCTTGCAATACATGCTCCACACCGGTCGTCAAGGGTTGCATTGATACGGCATCACAGGTATGCGAAAGAATGAACTAAATGGAGGTACCAAATTTCATGCTCTAAAGAACAACGTGATGAAAATCACTGTGTGGCTCATTCAATGGCCGCTCTGTGGTGTTTTTCAAATTCCAGCGCTTGAATTCTAGTCTCCCGGGTGCGCTGAAGAAGTCTGGATGTAATGTTTCGGCAAAATGCAAGCAGTTCGAACGAGCAAAGGTTTGCATTCATTTCTATATTGTTTGTATTTCTCATTCCTAACGGAAGTTTCTCTCCAGAAGTCTAAAAAGCACACGGAATTCAGGCTACATTCTTTCAGTCTAATAGGCTTATTCACGCTTGCTACCACCAGACCTGTCGAAGAAGTTTTCAACACCTGGGTGATGAGCGAGCAAGAGATAAAAAACATGTGTAAGCGTATTAATAGATACAGCTTGTCATCGGGAACTGCTGATTTTCTTTCCAGATATGTTTATTGCGATCCTGTTCTCGTTCGGGTGCTGCGTTGCTGGCTCCATGATTGTAAGTTCGTGCTTCGTTTGTAAAAGCTTGAGCTAAAGCATTTTTTATTCTTCTTACGTAACGCAATTCTAGGATCCTTACTATGATGGAGACGATTATCGTCGTGCCGGAGGTGATGGATCCGTTCACTGGCAATATGACAAGGCAAGTGTAGAAAACAAAAATCAGTTTCTAACAGAACGCTTAAACTTCGATACACAGACTGAAAGGGAAGAGATAGAAGCTCGTGAAGAACTTTGGGAAGAGGAGCTTCAGCGGGAACTCGAAGAGAAATCCAGGCTCCTGAAGCAAGTCGAGGAGAAAGAAAAAGAGCGGGTGTGAGGTATGACTCCACTGTCTATAATGTATAGATTCGCTCCGCGCAGGTTTTTAAGTACGACACCGTGTACTGCCTTTCGCGGAAACGCTTTGGATGGACAAGTCACGTCTTTGTTGGTTCTTACGTGCTTTTTTTTAAGGAGCAGATTGTTTTTACGTGGAACATACCTCAAGACAGACAGCCACCGGTTTTCGCGCTTTAGCCTGCGTGGATATCTGGTATGGAATTTCCTGTTTAGTTTTGCTTGCGATGCTTCTCTCGCCACTGACTTTTGTATGATTGAGAAGAATTTTCCCAGGACGAAGTAAACCTTTGCCAACGAAGCCGGTCTTTAAGCTTTTCTCGCATTTCTTTTCGGTTCTAATCAGACGCACAGGAGGTGATATGACACTGTCCGGGAGCCTTGTTTGTTTATGAATTTATCCACAGGACCTCAGGAATCGCGAGCACATGATTGGAACGTGAATTCGGGGGCCCGACTTTAGTCCCACAGTGATCATCACAAGTGCTGCCACTGCGCTGCCGCCCACCCCGTTGCTTCTGAAACATCAAAGTGGCACTTCTTCCTTCGGCCCAAGCTCTGATATTCCAAGTACGTGATGTGGCTTCTGGAGAAGTTCTTCTATTATCATGCCTTGGTGCTTCCACTGTTGCAAGGTACTCTTGCTTTTCCAAGGTTTTATTCTATTCGGGAATGTTTAAAAGCTTGTGTTTCTCTCCTGTTCGTCGCAGGTTTTGTAGGTGACGCTAAAGCCATACACGATTAATCGGTGGGTTTGGTTTGGTTGCGTTTGGTTCGGTCGCTCTCACCACCAAACTTTTGCATCAGACCGGCGCATTGGATCCAGAGAAAGGGTCTTATCCATGGAAAGGGGTGATGAGAGACTGGAACTAGTCTGGAGGACGACAGACAGGGAAAGCGAAAAAAAAAAGGCGAGAGAGAGAGAGAGAGAGGAAAAAAAAGAGAGGAAAAAGGGCAAAGAATGTTACTTTTTTGCTTTTTATATCAAGCGTTTAAGCTGCTCGTCTTTAATCTCCTACACACGGGGATCTCGATCGACTCTCCAGCTAAAGTAAGAGGAAGAGGTAGCGAGCGAGGGATATTCGCTGCCGGTTTGGCAGGAGATTCCTTCCTCTCTCCCGCCGTGTTGTGACTCGTGTCAGCGTCTACGCGCATACAAACCGGTAAAACGACCGTGGGTTTGGCCGCATATTCCGTGTGGAGCCCCATCGGCGCCGTCCGCGTGGCAGCGCGGCTGGCCCTGGCCGTTGGCAGCCCCCCGCCGCGAGTTTAAAACGCCGTCAGTTTGCGTCCGCCGTCTGGCATTGTTCCATTCGTGCGTTTGTGTGTGTGCGTTTTGCGGCATACCGCGTCGGCCGGCTGCGGTGTGTGTGGAGTGTCCGCCTTTTTTGACGAGCATGGCGTGCATTGCCCTGCGCCTTTCCCTTGCCCCTAGTCTTCCTAGGTAAAAAATATTTCCCTTTCTCTCCCGGTCAGTCTTGCTCTTGCCGCTTGGATGCGCGCCTCCGACGCAAGCATCGGTTAGGTTTCTTTCGGCGATGCGCGGCTCGGCGGCGAGAAGCAGGCGCTGGCGCCGAGAAATCTGGCGGCGCGTCCAGGTAACCGATTCGTCAGCTGGATCGCGCTCGCGAGGGGAAATTTTGGGGGGATTGCCGCGGCGCCGTCGGGGAATCGAGCGATGAATTGGTGCTAGCGGGATTATGGCCAGGAGCGGTGGGGATGCCCTCAAAATCCAGGAGAACGTCTTCCGGGGTCATAGGGAGAGAGTCTTTGACGGGAATTGGCCCCCTCTGGAGCATGGCGGCGAGCACGAAAGCGTCAAGGCGGATAGATTCGGCGGTGACGTGAGTTGGATCTCCCAGATTCCGCAATGCGTCGTCTTCACTCCCTCAATCGACGAGTTCAAGGATCCCCTTGCTTACATTTCCAGCATTTCTCCACTGGCTTCGAAATATGGTTCGTTTCGTATTCCTCTAGCGTTTCTTCCTCTTCCTCATCCCCTTTGTTTCGTATGATTTTTACTAAGTCGAATTCGCGCAGGTATATGCAAGATCATTCCTCCAATTCTACCTTCCGTCCCGGCCGGCAGGGTTCTCATGAAGGAAAAGTCTGGGTTTAAGTTCAGCACGCGAGTCCAGCCCATGAGCCTCTCGGATTGGGATAGTGACAATAACAAAGTTACATTTCTGACAAGCGCGCAGTAAGTGGTGTTGTGGCGACCTTGGGAGTTTACAATGCTAACAGGCTTCTGTTATGTTGCAGGCGCTACACTTTCTCGGAGTTTGAGAAGATGGCCAACAAGTTCCACTCGCGCAGGTTTTCCACTGCTGCTATTCAGCCACCTTTGTTTGTCGAAGCCGAATTTTGGAAGGAGATGCTTGCCGGGAAGTCTGACCACATTCAGTACGCCAGTGACGTTGATGGCAGTGCCTTCTCTTCGAGCCCTGCTGACCCTTTAGCCTCCAGCAATTGGAACTTGAAGGTAGGCGGGTAGGACTTGGAAAGAGTGTTGTTTTTTAATTGCTCTTCCTTTCAGATTGTTTCTTCTCTGCCAAAATCTATATTGCGTCTACTCGAGACAATTATTCCCGTAAGCATGTAGAATTCTGTGGTTTTGTGGTTTTTGACTCGGTTGTCAATCTTGGCAGGGAGTCACTGAACCTATGCTGTATATTGGGATGCTGTTCAGTATGTTTGCGTGGCATGTTGAGGATCATTATCTTTACAGGTAAGATGGATTGCAACTACCTTTCGCTCTGTTTATGCGTTTCTTTTTTAATTCAGCATCAACTATCATCACTGTGGGGCCCCGAAAACATGGTACGGTGTTCCAGGAGAGGCAGCTCAAAGATTCGAGAGTGTAGTTAAGGAAGAAATATACGCTGAGAAGCTGCTGTCGGAACATGGTCAAGGGGCTGCTTATGATCTGCTTATTGGAAAAACAACGATGTTTCCTCCGAACATTCTCGTCAAGCATGGTGTACCGGTCTATAAGGCTGTGCAAGCTCCAGGAGAATATGTCCTCACCTTTCCGCGTTCATATCACGCTGGTTTCAGCCACGGTTAGTTTACTTGAAAAGACTTTAATGGCGTTTATGACGTTGTCTTCTTTGCTGTTGTGCCAGGTTTCAACTGTGGAGAGGCAGTTAATTTCGCTATGGCAGACTGGTTCCCTTTCGGTGCTGCTGCTTGTCGTCGTTATTCGTTGCTGAATCGTATGCCGCTATTGCCCCATGAAGAGCTTCTCTGGAGAGAAGCGCAAGGCTTGGATGCTTCAGACAACGAAAAAAAACAAAATGCCGAAAGCTTAATGCAAATGCCGGTCAAATCTGCCTTCGTGCAGCTGATGGCCTTTCAGCACAAGGTCAGATGGCTGTTGAAAGAACGAGGTGCCGCAATCTACACGTCGTTGGCTGCTCCTATCAATATTCCTTGCAGCCTATGCAAACACATGTGCTACGTCTCTTTTTTGACGTGCAAATGTTTTCCAGAGCCGACATGCTTAAATCATGGTAAGCGTTTTGTTCTTCCTTTTTCTATGCATCTCTTACAAATTTCTGACTACAGCTCAAGAAATGCGCAAGTGCCAATGCGGAAAAGAAAGGCAGGTCTTCTTGCACAGGGATATCAAGAAGATGGATGCGGTGGCACTTCGATTTCAAACTGTCGTTTCACCTCTACCTGTTGTTGACGATGGCATGGTTTTCGATTCGGCTTTACTGGAGGAAGATTTTCTTGACGGCGAAGAATACAGTGGTTATGTGCCGTTTGACAACATCGATGCCCCAGACTTGGAGTCACCTATCATTTTTGGTTCTTCAGTCGTCACTACGAATAGTGACGCTGACGCGGATGCAAAGAAATCTGTGGACACTTGTGTGAACAAGGCACCTGTAAGTGCAAAGTCATTTGATTGCTTTGTTTTAATCTAGTTTTTTGTTGCTATAGAAACCAGGAGTAGCTGTTCGCTCGATGCCTTCGAAGCGGACCAATGAGAGAAATCGTTTGAGTCTATGTTTCAAGAAGGAACCAAAAGACGTGAAGGAACTCAATTCTCAAAATGTGGAGGTAGCTATCAATTCAAATTTTGCTATGATTTTATTTGATTAAGTGAATTCAGCAGGGAGAGGTTGCCAAACAGCAGCACGTGGTTAAAGTTTGGCGGGCATCTTCTGGAGAGTCGGCTTTACTGCTTAGAGACATTATCTCAGAACTTCACATTTCGGGTTCTGTAGAAGAGGTAATCTTTCTATGTTCTGTTGAGCGTCAAACAAACTCTGTTGTGAACAGATCAAACGAAAATGGCGAACTGAGGTCTCAAATTTACACTTCGTATGCGTGAATGACAATGATACCAATCATTCGGCACTGACATACAAGGTTCGTTTGACAAGCTAGCTGTACGTGGCTGTGCTGACTTGTGGACTGTTCAGGCTTGCCAACGATTGAAGAGGATATTTTCCCCCTCGCAAGCGGAAGAGCTGGAAGGTTTCTTTAGACGGGATCCTGCTAATCAGAGTACAGATAGCTCCGTCCTAGGAAAGCGGGAAATTAACAAAGCAGATGGACATAGAGAGAAAGGCTGCTCCCGGAAGAGGCCCTGTCAGGATAGCGGCTTGCTAACGTTTCCAGCGGGAAGGCCAAGGAGCCAGTCACTACCAGCAGAGCAGTCATTTTGTTTGTCATCCACGTCCGATTCCCAAGCTGACCAAGATTTTGTAGCAACTGACTGCCAGGCGGACAGGGGGATTAAAACTAACAGGTCGCACTGCTCTGCTGCGGATTCTAACACTCGTCATCAGCTAGGAAGGTGGGATGGAACGAGGCCGAGTGTAGATAGTGTAAAGGGAGCAGCTGGTTTAGACGCAGACCGGGACAGGCCCAGGAAGGTGTTTCCAAGATTCAAAGTGAAAGGTCCGTCCTTGCCACCTTTCAGGGGTGCTGAAGGTTCCGGCGAGAACATTCTCGTCTCCAGGGGCAGCACTCATGCGGATGGCTTGAGACGGTCGGTAGAGAGCTCTTCTTACTCGAGGTTTGAGCATAGCTGCAAGGACTATTCTCAAGCACACAGGTCCCAGCGCACTAGGTAGCACGGGATTGATTTTAACCATTCTTTTGGCCACGTGATCATCGGTCGATTGCTTATCCTCGCAAGGTGCGTCTGTACAAATTCATTGTTTGGTTGATCACCACTTAGCTTGTTTGGAAGTTCCTGTTTAGCTTCTAGCTAGCATTTCATTCTTTCGGCCTCAACTGCATTGAGGCCGGCGGGGCGCGCGAACAAGGAAAAAGCTTGATCCCGCGCCGCGATTGTTTTTCTTTTCTCAACTAATCTCAAACTGGTACACTATTCTTTCGATTCTTTAATGATGCGCTTTTTTCTGGTGTTCTTCCAGTTAGGAAGAACTCTTGTCCGTGTAAAGCCTGAGCTCGCTGGCCAGCTCGTCGGCCTTTTGGATCATCCCGGCCCGGCAGTAGGCAGAGACGACAGCGTCACAGGTCCCAGGCCCCGGCGTGTGGCCATACTTGATCATCTCCTCGAGAAGCTCGTGAGCCTGCTGAGGCTGGTGGGCCTTGCACAGCGCAAAGACAACCGTGGCAAAGGTGGCAGCCGCAGGGACATATCCTCTCTGGATCATCTCCTCGTAGAACTGGACCGCGTCGTCCGTCCGCCCGTCCCGGCACAGCGCGTCGAGAATGATAGCGTACATGGCGACGCTGGTCGGGCAGGGGCCGCCTTCCGAGTTGAGCTGGTCCAGGTACTGGAGCGCCTGATCCGTCCTCCCGGCCCGGCAGCAGCCAGCGACGAGGATGTTGTAAGTCACGGTGTTGGGGACGAAGCCGCGGCTCCGAAAGTCCGCCACCAGCTCCTCGGCCTTGCGCACCTGGTTGGACTTGCAGTAGCCGTCGACGACGCAGTTGTACGTGTAGATGGTCGGCGGGCAGCCCCGGCGGGTGATCTCCTCGAGCAGCTCCAGCGCGTCCTCCATCCGGCCCTCGCCGCACAGGCCGTCCACCAGGCTCGTAAAGGTGACGACGTCGGGGCTGAGCTTGTTGGCAACCATCTGCTGGAAGAGCTCGTAGGCGTCGTCCAGGCGGCCCATCTTGCAGAAGGCGGACATGAGCGTGGTGTAAGTTATCACGTCCGGCGCGCAGTTGTCGTCCACCATCTTCCCGAGCAGCCGGATCGCCTCGTCCATGTCCCCGGCCCGGCAGTAGCCCCCGATGAGCGAGTTGTAGGTGATGGCGGTCGGCGCGCAGCTCATCTCCTCGAAGATGTCCACGGCGTCGCGCAGCCGGCCCGCCTTGCAGAGACCATCGATGACGGTGGAGTACGTGACGATGTCCGGGGTGAAGCCGCGGCGGGTGACTTCGCCCAGCAGCTCCAGGCCGCGGCCGACGTCGCGCGCCTTGCAGAAGCCGCCGATGAGCGCCGTGTAGGTGATGATGTCCGGGTGGCA